GAGAAAGTGCGATGCCCTGCAAGGGAGCAAGCAGCTCGAGGGGTGATGTTTTTTAACAACCCTGGGTCAGGTGTGGGCCATCCTTCATTGGGCGCCCATTCCGCTAAGTTGATGGACAGGTGGAGCGTATGTGCATCTGCGCATGCCCAGATTTGCCGGGCATGCGCAGATGCCCAGATTTGCCGGGCTCTGTGCTCAGACTCCCGGTAGAGGCACAGTAGCCGCTAAGAGGTCACTGTGAGGTCATTGTGGTTACTTCTCTGCGCATGTGCACTCAGGAGGACCCTCTGCCTGCCTGATGAGCCCCTGCTCATGAGGTCTGGAGCCAGCTCATCAGCCAGAGGGAAGTCTCAGCCTCTCCTTCTGTACTGGGGTGAACTCTTGAGATCCCCTTGGGGTTGGGAGCATTCAAACAGGAGCAGGTCTCCGTGAGCTGGTCTTGTTACCCTGACAACCAGGGATCCTAGGCTGCCTGCCTTCCTCTGGAGCTACAGCCCCTTGCGCCTCCATACATCCACCTCCCAGCCTGGCCAGCCCTTTTCCAGGCATTCGCTGAAGTATTCCACTCCTCAAGCACTTTTTTTTCTGTCTTAGTTATCTTTAAATTGGGCACTGGTGGCTCAGGCCTGTAATCTTAGCTACTCAGGAGGCCAAGATCTGAGAATCACCATTCAGACCCAACCCAGGCAGGCAAATCCAAGAGACAGTAATCTCCAATTAATCACCAAAAAGCCAGAAGTGAAGATGTGGCTCAAGTGGTGGAGCACCTCAAGTAGAAAGAGCCAAGCGAGAGTATGAGACCCTGAGATCAAGCCCCAGGACCAACACCTCAATAAAGTAAATGTTGTCTGTAGATGAGCTGTAGAAATTCAGTCCCCACAGGTTGCTTGCGGTTCATAAATAAACAACAAAAAGAAGGAATACTCTGGGCTGGGAAGGTGGCTCAGTGGTAGAGTGTTTGCCTTGCATGCTCGAGGCCCTGGGTTCGATTCCTCAGCACCACATATGCAAAAAGAAAAAAGCCGGAAGTGGCGCTATGGCTCAAGTGGTAGAGCACTAGCCTTGAGCTGAAGAGCTGAGGGACAGCGCCCAGACCCAGAGTTCAGGCCCCACGACTGGACCCCAAAAAAAAAAAAAAAAAGAAGGAATACTCTAATGCAGTGAGCAGGACAGGAAGCAGGTTCCTTCCCACTGACGGGAGGCCATGCAAAGGCACTGGGGAAGATCGGGGCCAGAGAAGAGGTCCGTGAGCTGCTATGCAGGCCACAAGAAAGCCCAGGCTGGCCCACAAGAAGGTCTGACGCAGGGTAAGACTTCAGGGTTGCCAAAGATGTGTCAAGTCTTTAGCCCCACCCCCATCAGTGGGTAGACAGGAAGTTGGGGTATCCTGGGTGGGGCCTGGCCCAGCAAGGCCAACTCTGCAGCTACGATGAGCCCTAAAGAAGCGAGGCAAGGTGACTCTGGTCTCTTTCCTCCCGGCAGGGGACAAGAAAGCCACAGGTGCAGAAGGCTGCTCTGTGGGGCTGGGAAGAACAGTGAGGACAGGAAGGAGGAAGAGGACATTGCCCTGGAGGAGCTGGGGAATGGCCACCTACAGCTTCCTCTCAGCACCCTCAGCCCTTTCCTGCGCTCCTGTAGCAGGAGAGATCCCAAGATGAGCGGCTTGCGTGCATTGCTCTGCTCCCAGAAAGCCCTCCACCGGTCAAACTGACCCTGGCCCTGCCTGGCCTAACCTCAGGCCACAGCTGAAGGCCTCTGTGGGAACACCTGCCTTTAACCTTTCTGCCCTCCACACCCCTTCCCCTGGCCTCCCCCACGGCCGCCTGCTGCCAGGGCCCCTGCACCTACACTCAGCACCTCCAGCAGGCCTCGCTCACCTCCTGATGCCAACTTGTGCTTTATTTAGGCTGTGGATGGAGTCTCACCTCCTCCATGAAGCCTGCCCAGTTTGCCTAAGCTTTCAGGAAACCCAGTGCTCCCATCTCAAAACACACGCTGTGAAGTGACGCCTGGGCCTGTGTGAGGGCCTGGGGTGTAACCCAGACACACAGGATGGCTTTGGGTACCCTGGAGCTGTGTGCCCATCACTGCATGCAGGTGAGGGCTCGTGAGGTTCCCCTCTAAAAGTAAGGGACTCTTCTCTTAGGGTCCTTGACCTTGATCTCAGGATAAGAACTTCTGGACAAATCTTAATAGTAAGAAAGCTTGGGGCTGGGGAGGTGGCTCAGTGGTAGAGCGCTTGCCTTGCATGCATGAGGCCCTGGGCTCCATTCCTCAGCACCACATAAGCAGAAAAAGCCGGAAGTGGTGCTGTGGCTCAAGTGGTAGAGCACTCATCTTGAGCTGAAGAGCTCAGAGACAGCGTCCAGGCCCAGAGTTCAGGCCCCACAACTGACCAAAAAAAAAGTAGTAAGAAAACTTGACAGAGCTTTGAGTGAGTAAACAAGCCAACAGCCAAGCAGACAACCAGAAGCAGAAAGGCAGGGGTCCACTCTAAGAAAGCATGGGTGCTCTGAGAGAGACACACACAGTATTTGGCATCAGGAGTATTTATATGATGGGGGGAGGGGGAACACGTGGGGAGGGAGGGTCTGTCTTCAAAGTTCGCAAAGACAGGTGTTTTATCTTTGCTCTTAATCACTCCTGGTGGTATTTTCTGAGGTCCTCGCTGCTTGGGCATTCCTTCCAGTTAAAGATAAGTCCTGCCACCAAACAGAGGTGAAGCCTTAAGGTAAGGTGTGCATCTTGCTGTCTCTCTTAGAGGCAAAGACAGTGCTTCTATGTATCTAAATACCTTGTTTGTGTCTGAGTTCCTTGTGGCCTTCATGGGGCTTCCTCTTCCCTAATCCATCCTATCTCATTTTTTGTTAGGTCTGCCTAGGGGAAAATGGCCCCTTTCCCTTTGTTTTCCCTCCTGTGCACACGTGGCCCTCTGTAGAAGTCCCAGCCAGCACCTGTAACCCAGGTCATTGGAGCAGCTGGGGGCAGTGGGTGGTTCCCGGGCTCTGGCATCTGCTGTGGCCAAACCTCCTCCCCTCCCTCTCTCTATACAGCCTCCCCCTGTGCCGTAAGTCCCCACTGCATCTGGTGCAGGCTAGCTCTGCTGCTCAACTCTCTTCTGCCTGCATACCCACCTGGAGGTCTCCTAAGGGACGTTGGTGTGCGAATTTCAGTTTCCCATACTTGCTTCAAGCTGAGTTTTTTTTTTTTTTGGGGGGGGGGTCCTGTCGTGGGGCCTGAACTCTGGGCCTGGGCGCTGTCCCTCAGCTCTTCAGCTCAAGGCTAGCCCTCTACCACTTGAGCCACAGCGCCACTTCCGGCTTTTTTCTTTTTGCTTATGTGGTGCTGAGGAATGGGACCCAGGGCCTCATGCATGCAAGGCAAGCGCTCTACCACTGAGCCACCTTCCCAGCCCAAGCTAAGTTTTTGAATACCTGGATATAGTTTACTGTGCCTCACTTTCCCTAATCCATCCTGGGCAACTGTGGCCAAGAACCCGCTGCCTGCCCTGCCCCGTGTGCACTGCTTCCTCCAAGGCTGGGTTATGCGATGTAACCTTTGACCTAGGATGGGACATGCTGGGGCTTTTTCATCATTTCCATCCTGTTTCCTAACTGGATCAGAGGCAGATGATGACGCACCACGTCACATGGAGATGAACGCTGTTCTGGATAGAACGTGAAATACCCTTGGTCCTCAGCTGGCTAGGTTATTTTGGAAGGTGCTGGAAGCTCTAGAGGACGGGGAGGAGGCAGCCTAGAAGATGCTTTAGCCTGGCCTGCGAATTAACTAGAGGCTTTGCACCTGTGCCTGTTGATCTGCGCCAGTCTGCCGCAGTCACTTTACAGCCACCTGGGCTCTGTGAAGGTGGAGATTCGGGACACACCTGCGAGGAAGGCAAGCCCCTCCCACAGGCGACGCCACCTTCCCCCCACCTCTGTAGCAAACGCTACAAAACACGCTCCCGGCCTCTAGAATCAAAGTGGGAGCTGAGGTCAGTTCAGCCATACCTGAGACCTAGGACTGGGGTAACTCTGCCTCTTTTCCCACCCCCTGACCCCAATTCTCCCTATGTAACCACCCCCTAAATCGGCAGAAGAGGCCCTGAATGCTGTCTTCCCATGGCCTCTCTCTGCCCTTCACCTTGCCTCTTCGTACGGCATGGGGTGGGGGAGGGGGCACTGGCCAGACCTAAGGTGAGCCTCCTTGTTAGGAAACTGAGTCATGAGGACATTGGAATAAAGAGCAGAAAGCAAACTCAACAGACCAGATGGACTTTAATGGAAAGTTGAAGCGGGATGCCACAGGGACCTGAGGAGAGTCAGGAGACACGGGGCGTCGTGGAGGGTAGGGGCAGGCGTGGAGGCTCTTAAGTAGGGTCTGAGGTGGGGATAGGGTGGAAGGTAGCCGGAGAATTTCAAGGAGTTTGGGGACGTGCCTTGGGAGTTGGTGGTAATGGTCCAAAATGGAAGAACTCGGTGTCCAGCACCTGAGAGGTGGGGGTGGGGAATTGGGTCTGCACATTTAGGTAAAGAGTCCTGGCTGGAGAATTTCTGGAAAGTTCGGGGCGGGAAGGGGAGGGAGGAAGGTAGTTGGGGGACTAAGCTGTGGCGCCATACTGAGTTATGAGAACAGGGTATATTCCCATCACTCCTGGACTTTGGGTCTAGGATTCTAAAAATTCAGTGGGGCCCTCGCTAGAAGTGGGGTACGGGGGGGGGCTGACTGTGAAAGCTGAACCTGGTGCTAGGCTCCTTCCCCGAGCCACTTCCACGGGCTCTCGCTGCTTTGATGTCCTGAAATCTCTAAAACCATGAGCTGAAATCAATCTTTCCTTGAATTGTGTGTTTTGTACTGGTCCTGGGACTTGAACTCAGGGCCTCGACGCTGTCTCCGAGCTTCATTTTGCTCAAGGCTGGTGTTCTACCACTTGAGCCACAGCTCCACTCCCTGCTTTTTTTTTTTTGAGTAGCTAATTGGAAGAAAGAGCCTCACAGACTTCCATGCCTGGGTTGGCTTCAGATCTGGATCCTCAGATCTCAGCCTGAGTAGCTAGGGTTATATCAGCTTAAAAAAATCTACAGCCAGGCCAGGCCGGCCCCTCCCTCCTCACAGGAGGCCCTCACCTAAGGGGCCTCCATCCCAGGCCCCTGTGAGCAACAGGAGCTAGAGAAGAACATAGGAGCAGAATCACAGGCGCTTCCCTGGTTCGTGTCGGTTTACTGTCTCCAGTAGAGGTAGACGTTATTGTCCCCTTTCACAAGAAAGGAAAAAACAAAGCTCAGATAGCGTGAATGACTTGCTCCGGGCCACACAGCGACGGAGTCATCACTGGCCTCCATTCCTAACTGCTTCTCGCCTCCCGCAGGCTCCCCGCCGTGTGGCGGCTATCAAAGGAACTGGCACAGGGTCCCCTCAGATCAGGCAAGATCCCCTAGTTACTCACCAGAGTGATGGTTTTTTTACATATCATTTACTGACCAAAGACTGGTGTGGGTGTGGGTACATGTTTGTGTGTGTCTGTCTTCTGTCTGTGTCCTGGGACCAGTTCTGTCTAGACTCCAGTCAATATGTGTCTTCCCTCTACTGCCCTCTGCTGGAAGTACGAAGAGGTGCAGGTGACTCCTCTCTGCTGGCCCCAGGACTACTTCCCCCCCCCCCCCCCCAAAAAAAAAATCAGGTCCCAGACACATCCCACTGACCATTGTGTCTGCTGTCCCACCAAGCGATCCCCGTCCCAGAGCTGAGAGTAGGGATGTCGCACCTACCCCAGGGCCTGCCCAGTCCCTCTCTGGGGAGGAATCAGCCTGTAGCAGGCAGCAGTCTAGGCAGCAAAGACCAAGCAATGAGTTGAGAAGACAGGGGGTACACTCCACAGACCACTGGACCCCCTGGCAGGAGGCTGCCTGGGGCCCCCTTCTTCCTGCCCCCTACCAGAGCCACTTCCCAGGGAGTTGCACTTGCTTAGGTCCAGCCTTTATGATTCAGTATGTGCGGATGCACTGGCTGGGCAGGAGGGGGTCTTGGACAGCCGTTGGCCCTTCTATGGCTCCAGCCCTTGATCATTGTCTGAGCACGTCGTCCGTGGGATGTCAGATTCCTCCGGGGCTCGTGAGCCCTGACCCGTCCCCAAGTGTATTGAAAAGATCAAAGGGAGAGAGGAAAGTTGAAGCCACCGCGGCCCTGGCCAGGGGAGAAAGCAGCTCTAAACTGCATTCCCTCCGCTCCGGCCATCTGTGGTTTTCACTCTTCTTTTGACCACCTGGGCCCGATGAGAGAGAAGTTTTTCACCCCGGCGCTACGTGGTCTCAAACTAAGCAGACTTCCACAGGGGCTCTGGGGCTCGACACAGGTACACCCAGGGTCTGGGGTGCTCACTGCTCATCCTGTAGCCTACAAAGGACAGAAAGAAATCAAGAAGGGCTGTGGCCCCACTGCCCCTGGGGTCACCCTGCCCTTCTTCTGGCTCAGCCTTGTTCTGGCCCAATCATCTCCTAGGAGATAAAGAGGAGCCATGCTGGCCTGGCCAGCCTGCTCCTCACTGGCTGGGGACACAGGACTCTAGGGTCCTCAGTAAAGGTGCCTGGAGCTCAAGATAGCACCACTTACTTCCCATGTGCCTCTTCCTCCAAAACCGATAGACCATGGCAAACATCACAGGCGCCGGAAGGAGGGTCAGGACCGCCACGAGCACGGTGAGGTAAGGCTCCTGTGGCCTGAAGAGGTGGGAGGGAGGGAGAGGGGTGAGCCCCAGGCTCCCCCCCCCCCCCCCGCCTCAACTTCCTGCTAGCAGCATGAGAGGCTGAATCAGAAGCCTAATTACCTCTTCCATTGTGCCCCCAAACCTGTTCATCCGTGAGGATCAGCATGCTACAGACCCACTTGTAGCGTGGGATGGACCAAGGCCTCTCTTGCCTCTGCAGTGACAAAGCCCTCCCTCACCCCCACCCCCCACCCTGCTCGGGTTCTGTCTGCCAGAGAAGCAGCAGCTAGCGTCCACAGACCTGCCCTGGGGCCTGACTCACCCACATTCATTTCCTTCTCTCTCACTGGTGCCCTCTAATGCCAGCCATGGCAGGTGCCCCCTTACCAGTGATGAACAGGACTGGGTATAGAACTTTCCTGACTCTATCAGCCGACAGTGGGAGGCTGACTAGATCCAAGGCATTAAGAGTCCTGTGTTCGAGTCTTGCTGAACACAGGAGTCCTGTAAGCTGGCTTTAAGGATGACTTGTTGGCCTCCTTCCCTTTCCTATCGCTCTTCATCACCCTCTTTCCAGAGCCTCAGGCCAGACATCCATCCTTACCCCAGCATCTGTTCCAAACCAGTTACTCCACCTTCCTACCTTGCCTTTTCCATTGCTCTATTTACACTCTCCACAACCCCAACCCCGGGCCTCCACCCCGCTGCCTTCTTTTAGGGCCCTTCCCGTCTCTCCCCCCCCCCATTCAGCAGAGGGGAGAAGGGAAAGGAAGGTCCAGTACTCAGGCTGTCCCTTGAGGCCCTCCACCAGGGCCCCACACCTGGGAGAGTGTCCCTGTCAGATACCTGACGGAGGGTAAGTGGTTGTGGCAGGTGCCCGTGGCGGGGAAGCCACTGTTGACATGCCTGGACTTGGTGGGCGTGGACGCTGGGCCAGCAGAGGAGGCTCTGGCCCGGCCGGGGGACTCCGTGGTCCAGCTGGGCCCCAAGGTAGTGGCACTGTAGTCAGCCATGGAGTTTGGCCGGGCCCTCTCCGAGGTAGTGGGGGACGAGGTGAGGAGTCCAGAGGTGAAAGGGGCCTCGGAGCCAGAAGTGGACACGTGGCCCATGGTGACAAATCCACTGTCGAGGCCGTCGGCCGGATGTGTCAGGAGCGGGTCCCTCTCTGTTGTCAGGGCTGAGGGAGCAGAGCGGGAGGAGGGTAGACTGAGTCGGGGTCTTGGTAGGTACCGGAGGGGAGGTCCAATTTCTGGAATCAATGTTGAACAAGAGCTATCCCCAACGTCCCATCATTGGTCTTTAGGGTCCAAAGATGAGGACATGAAGGGAAGTTTCAAGGGTCGCCAGGCCCCTGGGGCTTACTAGACACATCTGGCTGCCCCTTGGGCTGGCCATCCCACCTTCCGCCACCCCCGGTCCTCAGGAAGCCTGGCACTCAGGCAGCGGGTGCGGAGGCAGTCGTAGGAGTTTCCTGAGGAGGGTCAAGGCTGCCCCGGCAGTTAGAGAGGCCGCTCAAGAGCAGCAAGTGCTCTTGAGGTGACCGCGAGGCAGTAGCTGAGCCTGAGCTTTTGCTCTGAGCCAGAGCAGCTCTCATGTTCCACACAAGGGCTCCTCTGTCACTGAGGGGTGTTTTGTTTATTCGTCGGTCATGGGGCTTGAACTCTGGGCCTGGGCGCTATCCCTGAGCTCTTCACCTCAAGGCGAGCGCTCTACCACTGGAGCCACAGCACCACTTCCAGTTTTCTGGTGATTAACTGGAGATAAGAATCTCATGGACTTTCCTGCCCAGGCTGGCTTTGAACCATGATCCTCAGATCTCAGCTTCCTGAGCAGCTAGGATTACAGTTGTGAGCCACCAGTGCCAGGCCCTGTTTTTTTCTTTCTTTCTTTCTTTTCTTGGTCATGGGGTCTGAACTCTGGGCCTGGGCGCTGTCCCTCAGCTCTTCAGCTCAAGGCTAGTGCTCTGCCACTTGAGCCACAGCGCCACTCCCAGCTTTTTCTGCTTATGTGGTGCTGAGGAATCGAACCCAGGGCCTCAGGCATGCAAGGCAAGCGCTCTACCACTGAGCCACCTTCCCAGCCCCCGTTTTCTTAAGAGCACAAATGATTCCTGAAGTGACCTGTCCACAGGTCATCCCCAGCCCTGATGCATTACTGCCCAGTGTCATTCAGTACCCGCCAGCTACATGCCCTGGGAGTGGATTTCATTTTCTTAGGGAGATGTCTGTGATGGATCATTCTCATTCTAGCTGCTGCTGCTGCCGCTGGCCCACAGAACAGGGAGATCGAACCCCCACCCATCCCAATACCCCGCAGGTGAGCTCACCGGGAGACACTTCCAGCATGAAGCCTGTCATAGGGTAGAGGGTCCCGCGGGTGTTCCTCATGCACCAGTACCGGCCCGAGTCCTGGCGCCTGAGGTCCCTCATGGTGACAGTGACCACCTTGGCCTGGGCATCATCCTCCAGCAGGTAGTGGGGCCCCTGCACCCAGTTCCGGACAAAGCCGGGTTCACACTTCCTCTTCCTGACCTTGCACCACACTTTGTCCTCCACGCGGTTTTTGCGGTGGTTGTAGGAGCACTTCACAGACAGGGTGTCCCCTTCCTGGTGACGCACCCGCGTGTACAAGCTCTCCACAGACGAGTAACCTGCGGGAGGGACGAGGCCTGATCAGCAGCAGAAGAGGGTGTCCTGAAACCCCAAGCTCCCGGCAAAGGCCGAGGGCATGGATCTCCTGGCCTGGAGCCACCATGGGAGGGGGGACTGCTGCTCTGACCCCGAGGAGCTCCCTTGGGTCTGCTAACAGCTAGCTTCCAGCCTGATCGGGAGGGGCAGCACAACGGAAGCCCCGGATGGAGCAGAGAGGAGACCCCCTGCCACACGGAATTCCATCAGTCACGGTCCTTTTCTATGCCTGCCTCGAGACAGATGAGAGAAGAGACAGACGCCCAGACACAAAGCCACATCATTAAGTTCGGGAATTGCAGGATTGAGGAAGAGAAGAAAACGCAACATTTGAAAAAGTAAAGAGTAATTAGTTCCCAAATAGTTTACAGGAGTTGTCTTTCTTGGTCTTGCTGTGTGTGTGTGTGTGTGTGTGTGTGTGTGTGTGTGTGTGTGTGTGTGTGTGTGTGTGTGTGTGTGTGTGTGTGTGTGTGTGTGTGTGTGTGTGTGTGTGTGTGTATTCCGGATTGAAGTTAGGACTTGTGTGTGTGTGTACCAGACTGAAGTTAGGACTTCACATTCTCACTTAGCTTTTTCACTCAAGGCTGGCCCTGTATCACTTGAATCTTACGTCCACTTCTGGCTTTTTGCTGGTTAATTGGAGATGAGTATCACAGACTTTTCTTCCCAGGCTGGCTTTGAACCAGGATCCTTAGATCTCAGTAACTAAGATTACAGGTGTGAGCCACCAGCACCTGGCACTGGGGGGGGGGGGGGGGGGGGGGGGTTGGGGATGGAACCCAGGACCTCAAGCATGCTAGGCAAGTGCTCCATCACTGAGCCTTGTCCCCAGCCCCTAGTTATACTTGTATTTTAAATAATAGCAAGCTACCTTAGTTCATTCCAGGGGAGATTTAAGTTTAAAACTTTCCAGGTGCACAAAACCCAGACTAAGCATACCCCCTCTGACATACGTACGAGCTCTCAAGGGGCCAAGGATTCCCAGTGATTCACTTCATGGATAGTATCTGGCTCTCTGTGCCTAGGTGTGAGAGAGGCCCTGTGAGCCAGCTGTGGTGGCCCATGCCTTAGAACCCAGCACTAAGGAGGCTGAGGCAAGAGGACAGAGCTTGCAGCCAGCGTGAGGTAGACATAGTGAGACTCCGGTTCCAGCTGAGCTACAGTATCAACAAACTCTGAAAAGAGACAGAGAGAGACAGAAACAGAGAAACCAACACGGGGGGAGGAAGCGAGAGAGAAGGGAAGAGGGAGAGAGGGAAGGCCAGACGATGCCGTCTGGTGGGCAGCAGGGTCACTTGGGACAGAGGAAGGGCGAATGCTCTACTCAAAAACCCCACAACCCCAGACCTTCCGCCCCCGTTGGCTGTAAGAAAACTCACTAACCACTGTTTCTCCTCTCACAAACTAAGCAGGCAGGTCCAACGCAACTGGGGGATGGGTCACCCCAGGAGAGACACCCTGCGGGGGGGGGGGGGGGATGGGGGTGCAGGGGCAGGGTGAGCGTGGGAAACCGTGCCCATGCCCACCTGTACCTTCTGCCCCTCTCCCTGGCTGTGAGGAGTAACAGGAAGTGGTAAGTGGTTGCCTTGGTAATCAGGGAGGCAGCCGTGGGAGAGCCCCCCCACCCCACTCCCTTCCATGAGAGCCAAAGGCGCTCAGGGATTGGTCCCTTTCAGGATAGAGGGCAGGGACCGGAAGTGGCATCAGCATTCCGAGAAACACTGAGTTCAAAGCCGGCACACACGATGCAAAGATCAAGGCCGGCATCCGTGAGAACTTTTTCTGCCGGGGCCTTCTTCATAGGCCCAGCGTGGAAGTCCACTTGGATGAAAATCTGGTGCACTGAGGAAGCCTAGCCAAACCAAGGAGCCAACACAGAAGGTTCCAGAGCTTGGCTGGCTGGTGAGTCCTGGCCTAGCATTGCCTGGTACCGGATCCTAGAGGACGGAACATTCCCAGGGGTGTCAGCTAAGGTGACCCCACCGCCTTCTCAGTGGGCTGGCAGGCAAAGGTGGCCATCCCCCCCTCCAGCCCTCCTCCCCTCACCTGATGTGACGTCCTGCAACCACCACAGCAGTGTGAGAATGAACGCGGGGGCCATGGCTCCATCCAGACAGGGGTGTCACGGGCCCAGCAGGGGCCCAGGATACCTGGGGGATCCAAGATGTGGGCTCAGGCGCGGGCAGGACATGCCACCTGGGCCTACCAGGCAGGGACGATGGGTTCGGGAAGTGAAGTTGCCCGTTTAGGGAAGTGTGGGGACCCGCTGCTGCCAGCAGACCGCAGCCCCCAGCCTATCGGAGGGCAGCCGGGCTGCGTTTCCGCCCTCTTCCTCAGAACTTCAGGCAGGTGTGGCTGCTCCACCCAGTCGGGGGGGGGGGGGGGGCCAGCAAGGGGGGCCCCCAGCCCCAGAGTTCATAGGGCTTGAGGCTGCCTGCCTGCCCTTCTCTAAAACTTCTAGAACCTCTGCTACAAACTTGGCTGGAATCCAGAGAACCCTCCACCCCCCCCCACCCCCCCCCCCAGAACAAAGGTTCTTCTTGGGCTTAGCCCTTCCTTCAACAAGGAAGGTCTGGAGAACTTCCTTCCTTCCTTCCTTTTTCCTTCCTTCCTTCCTACATGCATGCGTGCATTCATTCATCGTGGAATGCCTCCTTCCTGTCACCCGCTTCACGCCTGCTCACAGCTACAAATAAGCTACTGCGCACGTGCATCTTATTTTTGTTATACAGGGGGTGGAGGGAGGAGGAAGATGCAAGTGACCAGACTTAGAGTATGAAAGATTAAGTTTGTGAAGGGCTCCCGTGTTCTCCCTCCGGGGCTGGGGCCTCTCTGCCTCTCGCTCCCCCTTCCCCTCCCCCCCCCCTCTCTCTCTCTGTCTCTCTCTTCTCTTTTTCTCTCCTCTATCCTTTTTTTGTCTAATATCTCTCTCTTCTTTCTCCCCTCTCTTTCTCTCTCACGCACTCACAATCTGCCTCTTTCCTCTTTGTCTCTGTCCCTCTGGCTGCCTCTCCTTCTCTCTTCTCTCCTGGCCCGGCAGCCCCGGCAGGCTTCCCTTCCCCCACCCCGCTCAGAGCCCCTTCCTCCTCATCCTGTCCCTGTCAGCACACAGGCCTGTCCCCTCCACTTCCTCTCCTCTGCCCTATCTCTGCTCTCCAGTCACCCAACTCCAGTTGAAATGACCCAGCATTTGTCCCAAGACCGCACCCTTCCCTTAGGCCAAGTACCAGAAGGATGAGTTCCTGACTTCCAGAGCTGCATGGTAGGACCCGTGGCAGAGGCTAAGTGGACTTCTGACTCGCTCTCCTTCCCTTTAGAGCGGACTGGGGTGGGGGCGGAGGAGTCCTCCACCTTCCGTGGCCACGCACTGTAAACTCCACAGCCCAAAACAAAGAAGTTTTACCTCTGCAGAGCCTCAACTTTTTCATCTCTCAGCTCATGTGTGCATTGATGTTTCTGCGCATGCGTGCACGTATACACACACACACACACACACACACACACACACACACACACACACACGTACATGCTATGCATGAGGTTCGTTGTAGGAATGAGACAACCGTTCTTATTTCAAACTCCTTAGATCATGGAAGCTGTGTTGTTCTTGTTGTTTACTGACCTTTCTCTTTTTCAATGATTCTTCTGATACCAGAAAAGTCAGTCACCCGGATTCAAGTCCAATTCACAAATAATGACAGCAGTTTGGGGGAGAAAGGGAAGTCAAGGTTATGTTAATTTTGCCAAGCAAAATGGAGGACTGTACACTGTCAACGCAAAAGTATAGTCCCCCTCTCAGGTGAAGAAGGTGGGTTTTTCTAGAAAACCCCTGGAGCTGGGGATTCCAGACGTGGTTGGTAAGGTGTGACTTCTGGTTGATGGTGACCCTGGGTCAGCTGACTTCACAGTGTCCTGGAGTGAATCCTGGAGTTGAGTTCTCAGCCTTGGCTGGTGGTGTTTGCTTTGTCTCTGTGGGTCAGAGATACGCTATTAAGAGAGATAAAGGATAACTGCTTGCCTTGAATTACAAAAGATGTAAAGATACTTTTGAGTTTCACTCAAGAAAAGGAAATATAGGGAGAGAGCCAGGACCGGGAGAAAGAAAAGGACAAACTACCAGATCCTCTTCAACTCTCCCTAACTACGCGCACACTGGTGAAGAAAGAGAATTGGTAATCAGGTTCGAAGTATAGCTGTGGGCTTACTTAGGCATCTGCTCTCCTGCATCCCCCACCCACTCCTCCCCCATCCCAGGTCCCTGGGTCCGGTGGCTTAACCCTCCCCCACCACATGGATGTCTTCTTTTCCTCCTTCTCTCTATCAATGCAGGGGGGAGGGGCTTAGTGATAGAGTGCTTGCCTTGCATGCATGCTTGAAGCCCTGGGTTTGATTCCTCAGTACCACATACACAGAAAAAGCCAAAAATGGCACCGTAGCTCATGTGGTAGAGTGCTAGCCTTGATCAAAAGAAGCTCAAGGACAGTAATCACACCCTGAGTTCAAGCTCCAGGACTGGCAAAAAAAACAAAAAAACAAAAAAAGACTCCCCAAGTGTGCCCAGCACTGAGCAAGCCACGGTATCAACGTGGCCCCTGTGAGTACTGGTGAGGGTTTTAAGGGCTCAACACGCCTCACTCAGAGATTCACTGGTCTTCTAGGGAGGGACATTTGGAAATATAGCTATTAAATATATGTATACATTACATTTTTTGTATACAAAATAACAGCATCATTTCCTTTACATTTATTTTTCCCACTTACGCAGTAATTGACATCTAGTAACTATTTCAACCGCTTTGCAATGTTCACAGCATCCTTATTTATAACAGCAAAACCAGGGGACAATTCAGATGGCCTTCAATTAGAGACTGGATAAACACACTGGTACCTGCACCAATGAAATACCACTCGGTCACTGTTTTTTGATGGTATGGGGGGGGGGGTTCTTGTTTTTTTTGTTTGTTAGCTAAGAATAATATCAGTCATCCTTTTTAATGGATAATTTTGGAGTTGGACAAACCTATAGAAACTTGGATCCATTACCATGATTGAGATAGGAAGAGTTCCACTAACACCCCAAAAGTTTCTCCATGCTCCTGATATTTCATCCTCTCCATCACTGGTGATCATTGCTGTAGTAGACTTTGCCTATAAATTTTCCCTTGTACAGAATGAAAATTGTATAATATATGATATTTCATATTCTTTTTGATGAAATCCATTATGTAATTTTTGTGGATCATATTTCTGTCATATCAAAGAAATCTTTCCTTAACCAAAATTGGAAAGATTTTTAACAGTTTTATAAAATGAAACTCAAATAATATAAATTTTCTCATTTAAAATGTCTAGTTGGGGGCAGGTGGCTCACAATTATAATCCTAGCTATTCAGGAGGCTGAGATCTGAGGATTGTACTTTAAAGCCAGCATAGGCTAGAAAGTTCATGAGAGTCTTATCTCCAATTAATCACAGAAAAAGCCAGAAATGGAGCTGTGGCTCAAGTGGTAGAATGCTAGTCTAGCATGAAAAAGCTCAGGGACCATGCCCAAGCCCTGAGTTCAAGCCCCAGGACCAGAACACACACACACACACACACACACACACACACACACACACACACACGTTTGGTTTTGATCTCTGCTAAGACTTCCAGAATGATAGCTAACTAGAGTGAGTCAATAAACCTTTTCACCTTCCTTGCATTGCCTTTATCTGATTCCTGTTCACCATGAGGTAAACAAGCCCCCTCTTCCACCTGCCCGCCCCCCACCCAGTCTGCTTTGCCACAGATCAGAATCCACAGAGCTGAGGGCCATGGACTGAAACCAGAAGCTAAAAGAAGCCTTTCTCTCATTAATTTTGTTATGTCAAGCATTTTGTCACAGTGCTGTGACAGCTGACTAACAGAATGTTTAAGGTAGTCTTATTTGCAGTAGGTAGAACTGAGGATAAAACATACTCAGCTTGGGTTCTGAATGGTGTATTGGGGGGGCAGGGTGCACTGGGTGAAGTAGGCTATACCACTGAAAAGCACTGTCTGAGAACATACCTCCAGCAACAGGGAGACAGTGCTTGGAAAGGTGAGATGCATCATGCATTATTTTATGCTAGTTAAAAATAGTCACGCAAGCGGGAGCCAGTGGCTCACACCTGTAATCCTAGCCACTTAGGAGGCTGACATCTGAGGATCGTGGTTCAAAGCCAGCCCAGGCAGAAAAGTCCCTGTGAGACTCTTATCTCCAATTAACCATTCAAGAACCGGAAGTGGTGCTACAGCTCAAGTGGTAGAGCACTAGCCTTGAGCACAAAGAGGCTCAGGGACAGTGCCCAGGCCCCTGAGTTCAAGCCCCACAACTGACAAAAAAAAAAAAATCTAAATCCCCAGGGATTAACAACCCAGTGGATAAGGGGATAAAATGAGTGGAACAGGCAATTCAATTCTTGGAAGAAGTACACATGGCCAATAAACACATGAAGAAACGTTTACTATTCCTGGCTATGAAGGAAATGTAAATCAAACAACATTGGGATTTCATCTCTTTGGGTAAAATGGTCATCATCAAGAACACAACTGATTGCTGATGAGGATATGAGGGAAAAGGAGCCCTCATACACCACAGGGATGTAAGTCAGTGCAGCCACTATGGAAAACGGTATGGAGATTCCTCAAAAAACTAAAATTAGATGACCATATGACCTAGTAATACCACTCTTGGTGTCTAACTAAAGGATTTTAAGTCAAGGTACAAGAGACATTTGCAAGTTTATTACAGCACTATTTACAATAGCCAAGGTATAGAGAAGCAGGCTAGATGGCCTACAACTGACAAAAAGATAAAGAACTATGTGCTACAAAGAATTAAGTAATGCAGATACACAGGGAACATTATTCAGCCATTAAAAAAAAGAATTAAATTATGTCATTTGCAGGAAAACAGAGTGGAACGAGAGATCATCAGGTTAAACAAAACAAGACGTGTTCAGAAGCACAAAGACAGCATGTTTTCTTTCATATATGAAATCTAGTCCTAAAAGACATCCTACATACATGCATGCATGCATGCATACATACATACATACATTCAGAGCATATGATTGTAACTGTGGGACTGTAGAGGGATGTGGGGGCTGGGAGAGAGGGTAAGAATAATAGAAGGTGAGAGATGTGGAAATCCACAGAGTCTACTATGTATGATGACAGCATAAGGAAATGTGCTGGGAGTTGAGTCATTGAATAACAGAAGCATGGGGGGTGAGGCATGGAAAGAGAGCATCAGGTATCATTTGACTAACGTATAAGGTAGGTGTGTGTGTATGCACGCACGCACACATGTGTGCACACAAAATACCACCAGAAAACCCCTTGACATAATTGATACACGGTAAAAGAGAATAACAGGAATATATAACAGGCTGTTTTTGCGGAGGGGGGGGGGTAACAGTGTGAGGACTCTCAGAGAAGGTGCACGTGAGTGAATATGGCCAAAGAACTTCATATTCACATACATAAACAGAACAATGAAGCCTGTAGGAACTGTTTTCACAAAGGGGTGGGGGAATGAGGGATAGAGAAAAGAATTTTGATATGGGTGCATCAGATACAGGTCCAGGAATATCACGATGAAACCCCTTGCAACCAATGCATGCTAATAAAAAGATTTGTTGCTGTTGTGTTTAACACAGCCACCATGTTTTCCAAGTATACATTCAAATTCAGAATTTCATATGAAATTCATTAGAATGTTTGCCTTGGCAAAGGAGGCAAGTAGAAACAGGAAATGAGGACAAAAAGAGTAAGAAGTTAAAGAAAAAGAATAAGTTAAAGGGGAAAGGGTGGCACACAGACAGAGGATCGCTCCAGGGAAGGAACTGAGATTTATAGTAACAAACTTCTACACCTGACCCTATCACAGAATATGACGAGAAAATGTGGTGTCTGTGTGGGAGTCTTCTCCGTGGCTGACATTCAGTTTGCTGTTCCTGGTAGATACCCATTCTGAGTGGCCAGGACACACAGGTTGTACTGGATATTAAATGATCTACTCTGATGTGTGTGTGTGTGTGTCTGTGTGTCTGTGTGTGTGTATGTGTGTGTGTGTGTGTCTGTGTGTGTGTGTGTCTGTGTGTGTGTGTGTCTGTGTGTGTTGATACTGGAGATTGAACTCAGGACCTGGACACTATCCCTGAGCTTTTCATTCAAGGCTAGCGTACCACTTGAACCACTCCTCCACTTCTGGGTTTTTAGTGGTTAATGGGAAATAAGAGTCTCCCAGACGTTCCTTCTCTGGGCTGGCTTTGAACCTTGAATTTCATACCATGACCTTCTGATCATCCAGGATTACAGGTGCCAGGCCTGTTCTTGTTTTGTGGAGGTGATGCACTCTTCTGCTCCCTAAAATATGTACTGCTTAATCCCAGACAATGTATTTTGCCTGTCCGATCTTGCTGTCTTTTAGGTGGTGGGATTCCCTTCCACATTGAACATACACAATACTGACCCCTAGTGGTTATATCTTATTGATTGAGGACTATTAGGGAAAGTTCTGTGTCACTTAGATGCATCAGAATTTTTCTTTTAACTTCCAAGATTTTCTCAGCTTCCAGTCTGGTAATTCAAGTCTTTGCTGGTTTCAAATATTTTTATCATTATTTTTAACTCATTTCTTTTTGGAAAAAAGAAAAACCTCATTTCCATTTCCTGGAGTTCATTTCGATAAATATTGATACACACAGACATTGCACCTTTGTGGTCTTCTCCTAAGAGTATCCCCTTCTGCTCTCACTGTGTGTGGATGCCTAGAGTCCTGTATAATTTATCATGTCCCAGTATGTTTTAGACCTAGCTTCCCATATGAGAGAAAGCACGCACCTTTTGTGTCTGTGAGCCTGTTTTTATCTCATTCTAAGACATCTGGAATAGGAGAAGAGGAAGCCAACGTACGTGTGACATCTTGCCCCATTGTCTCAGACACTTTTCTTCTTTTTGTTTCTTTTTCCCCCCCAGCCTGACCCATTTTACTTCAGGGGCTTGAATTTAAGCAAAGCAGACACGGGTAGAACTCACCTGTAGTGCAGAGTCAAACAAAACATGAGAGATGCTAGCACCCTGATACCCAGCTAAGTCAATGAAAAAGACAGACAGACAGACAGAAATGGAGGGAAGGAGTGAAGGAACCTGGGAGAATAGGGGCAGGTATGGGGTTGGCATTGGGAAACTCAGACCCACATGCAGTGAACCCTCCAAGAGTAGACAGCTCGTGGACCGACTGGTAAAGGATCCTTAATACCAGAATGAGGATCACCACTGCTAAATACAGGGACATGAGTTGTCTTCCACCCCCTTGAGTGTTTGCTTTTCCATGATTAGGGGCAGCTAAAATAGATGGGCAGGAGGAGGAAACTAGACTTTCTTCCTGTATCCAGCGATGTCGCTTCCATGCACCCAAGGGCTCTGGGGGCTGGGCTGGGCTGGGCTGGCATTATCAGAGCCCTCCATCATTGCTGTGCCCGAAGTGTCCTTCTAGCCCTGAGAAAGCAGGATGGGGAGGAAATTCATACATCAGAGTCCTTTCTCTGCCTCTTTCTCTGGTTTTGGTTGTTGATTGGTCCTCCCCTCCCCTCTCCTCCTTTCATCGGCTTACAGCCACCCTTCCCTCTCCTCAACCCTCCCCTAGCAAGCCTCAGCCTTTCTCCTCCAGTTCTTCCTCCTCTCAGGACAGAGACTGAGCAAAGCCAAATGATGAGGTCCCTGGGAAAGACTCTTTCTTTCTTTGAGGTCCCTCTCTGAGGAAAAACAATAGTGAATAATGGGTGTTCCCATTATATATGATAGGCCCAGTTACAATCACCTCATTTTCCTGACCATCTTCTCTGGGACTGAAGTGGCCCTAGCTCTGACTGGCCTCTTTCAGATCAAACTGAGCGAGCTCACCTGGCAGCGCCAACGCCCCAGGAGCACACACAGAGCTGACAGTGCCAGGCCCTTGATTGCTAGGAGTCCATAGGACACCGAGACCACCAGGAGCCTCGGGGAAGTCCAGCCACCGCACAAGGGAGAACTTGAATTCCTGGAGAGGAAGAAGGGACTGGGATTGGACCATCATCAGCTCCTACGTAGCCCTGAACTGGACTTGGACTCCTTCTTGGAGCGTGTGTGTGTGTGTGTGTGTGTGTGTGTGTGTGTGTAGGGTCCCATCCTGGACAGACTACAAAGGGACAATGGACACCAAGTTGAGAGCAAGGGGTCCTTGGGGGGTCTGTGGGCCTGAAATGAAACCTCATCGTTGGAAATCCAGCTGTGTTGGATGGCAGAAAGATCAGCTAGGGGGAAAGCTAGGGGTCAGACTCAGCCAGTGGGTGGGAAGAGCCCCCAGGAATAGAAATGATGACAAAGTCAGATGGACAGGGTCCCCAGGCTAGCCCAGAAGCAGATGGCTGCGGCCACCAGACAAAAAGACATCAACTCTTGTCAGAGGAATGCATTACCTATCACTGGAATTATGGGGGGGGAGGGGAAGCCTTAAGATTCTGTGAGTCTTTGTCCTTATTTTGTGAATTTGATCCATTTAAGTTTATTGGAACTGCTTTTCATGTCTGGAGTTCATTTCTGCCTTGTATCATCTTTATCATTGGACATGCCTTTTGTTGTCATTGTTGTTACTGCTTTTCTTTGGATAGAGTTTTATTTTGTTGGTTTAAAGAACATACATTCTATTTACTGAACTGAAGACCCAAATTATACTGATTAGCTCCAATGCTGCCTAAATGTATTAATATCTAATACTGCCTCTCAGAAGACAAGTATTTAACCATCCTTTCCCGTCCTTCCTCTACCATGGTGTTGTTTTGGATGTGGGGGGGAGGGGAGAATGTAGTGGGGAAGGGTTACTGAGGCTTGAACTCTGGGCCTGGGCGCTGTCCCTGAGCTTTTGTGCTCGAAGCTAGCCCTCAACCACTGGAGCCACAGCTCCACTTCCAGCTTTCCTGCCTAGGCTGACTTTAAAACATAAATTTCAGATCTCAGCCTCCTGAGTAGCTGGGATGACTAGTGCCCCACTTGGATGTATTTTCTAATTGTTATGTATATATCTTCTCCTTTTGTTCTAGCTACCTTTTTTGTTCTTTAAGAATAAAAATAAACTTTACTAAAGTGCTTGATCATACTTACTTCTTCCTCTCTTGCAGCATCTCCTGGATTTGTTTTTTGACTTAATTTCACACTTCCTCTGACAGGAAGGATCATTGCAAGTGGCAAAGTTTTGGTCCTAAACTATCCTGGCCACACATTGGAAAGACAGTGTAGCTAAGTACAAAATCCTACCTACAAAGTTTTGCTCACTCACTCTCTTGCTTGCTTGCTTGCTTGCTTTCCTTCCTTCTTTTCTTTTTGTTCTGGTCCTAGGCTTGAACTCAGAGCCTGGGCACTGTGCCTGAGCTCTTTTGCTCAAGGCTAGCACTCTTAACTTGAGCCACAGCTCCACTTTCATCTTTTGGGGGGTAGTTAATTGGTGATAAGAATCTCACGGACTTTACTGTCCTGGCTGGCTTCAAACCGTGATCCTCAGATCTCAGCCTCCTAAGTAGCTAGGTTTATACATGTGAGCTACAAGTAACCACCATCAAAGTTCCTTTCCTTAATAAGACTGTAAAAATATTACTATTTATCTTTTTGTATCCAGTTTTCCTAGTATGGGTCTAATTCTTGTTCCTCAGTGAATGATTTAAAAGATTCCAGAATGCTCTGGTTTCCAATAGTGGGTCTAGGGGTCTGTCTGTCTGTATGTCTGTTTGTGTCTGTGGATTTTCCTATATTCCTCCCTTGGTGATTTATGAGTCTGAACTCTTTCTACAATTCTAAGCCATTTATTGAAGTTTATTTCTCAGTAAAAGGGGGAGCTGAACACCCTTGAGTTCAAAGGCAGGAGCGGAAATATTGGCTGTGTGAGCGCCTATAATCCTAGCTGCTCCAGAAGCTGAGATCCGAGGACTGAGGTTTGAAGCCAGCCCAGGCAGGAAAGTCCATGAGACTCTTATCTCCATTTTTTTTAAAAACCTAACAAAAAGCTAGAAGTGGAGTAATGGCTCAAGTGGTAGAGCACTAGCCTTGAGCGGAAAAAAGTTCAGGACAGTGCCCAGGCTTGAGTCCAAGCCCCAGGCCTGCGCACGCACGCACGTGTGCACACACACACACACACACACACACACACACAAAGTATTCTCACCATCTACTTGTCATGGTCTGCTATCACCATCTTCCTAGGCTCTCTCCATACCCCCACCCAACACACACACACACACACACACACACACACAGCCTCCCGGTTCTGCATTTGAGGGTTTCATTTTCTATCATTCCAGAAATGCATGTTTATCTTCCATTATTTGTGAAGCACTCCTTCCTTCCCCCATTCCTGTGCGCTCACCCAATGTCAAATCCAGACCTAGGCACTCCTCTACAGTGCCTGCCACCAACCACTCTGGGAAGACCCCTTGAGCCCCGGCCCCAGCTCCCAGGCTGCATGAGCTCTCTGGGCATCCCTTCCTCAGGACCCACCTCTGGCAGAGTCCCTGCCCTACCTGTGCTCAAAGCCAAGGATGGAAGGGTCGGTGGTCTCCGATGGAGAAGCCGTCAGAACTAAACAAACAAAAAAAGAAAAAACAAGGACTAGTCAGAGGACTAGACTGGAGACTGAGATTGGGTCACAAGAAATGGGGGAGAGAAAATGGAGAGGAGGGGCTGGGAAGGTGGCTCAGTGGTAGAGCGCTTGCCTTGCCTGCATGAGGCCCTGGGTTCGATTCCTCAGCACCACATAAGCAGAAAAAGCCAGAAGTGGCGCTGTAGCTCAAGTGGTAGAGTGTTAGCCTTGAGCTGAAGAGCTGAGGGACAGCACCTAGGCCCAGAGCTCAGGCCCCATGACTGGCAAAAAAAAAAAAAAAAAAAAATGGAGAGGAGACAGAAGCAGCCCTTCAGGGAACCTCAAACCAAGGATAACTGGATCTGAGATAGGGGTATTTTTTAAACTGAAACTTAAAATATGTACATATTTATGAGGCATGATGTGATATTATAATGGATTATGTAACAGTCAAAGTCAGTATAGTCTAATGTACTCAAACATTTATCATTTATGATTACAAAAATTCAAAATCTTCTCCTAGCTTGTTTTTTTTTTAATAAAAATAGCATTATCGTTGTCAATAGCCATCCTACAGTGCAGTAGAATGCCAGTGTTTCTTCCCCTAACTAACTCTAAGTTGGTACTCTATCCAGACTTCCCCTTTCCATCCCTCCCCTGCATCCCTGGCCTCTGGCATCCATCATTCTACTCTCAACTTTATGAGAGCAACTTTTCTTAGATTCCACACAAGTGAGTTCATGTGGTACTTGGCTTCCGGTGCCTGGCTTATTTCACTCAACACAGTGATCTCCAGTTCCAGGTTGTTAGAATGGGCAAGGTTTCATGATTTTTTCTTTTTTTTCTGGTTGTTAGGCCTGAGCGCTGTCTCTCAGTTCTTCAGCTCAAGGCGAGCACGCTACCACTTGAGCCACAGCACCACTTCTGGCTTTTTCTGCTGAGGAATCGAACCCAGGGCCTCATGCATGCAAGGCAAGCACTCTACCGCTGAGCCACCTTCCCAGCCCCTGCATGCACTCTTTATCGATTCATCAGTCAGTAGACACCAAACTTGCCATTGTGACTGGTGCTGGAATAAATTTGGGAGTGCGATGTCTCTTTAATAGAGTAATTACACTTCCTTTGGCTACATAACAAGTAGTATAATTGCTGGACCCAATGGTAGTTCTATTTTTTTTTTCCGTCAGTCATGGGACTTGAACTCGGGCCTGGATGCCAACCCTGAGCTCTTTTGCTCAAGAATAGAGTTCTACCACTTGAGCCACAGTACCACTTCTGGTTTTCTGGTGGTTAATTGGAGATAAGAGTCTCACAGACTTTCCTGCTCAGGCTGCCTTCGAACCGCAATTCTCAGATCTCAATCTCCTGAGGAGCTAGGATGACAAGCATGAGCCACCAGCCTCTGGCTTGCAATCTTTATAACATCTGGTCCAGTCTGGCACCTAGACCAAAGGGGACAAGTTTCTTCCCAAACGGGTGGTAGGCAAAAGGCAAGGCTGGGACACCTAGGCCTATAGACTTCCAGTGAAAGCTGACCTCTAGGGGGCCCTTTCAGGAGATAGAGTCCACGTGGCAGTTATGAAAGGGACTGAAGAGAAAAAAGAGAGAGAAAAGAAGAGCCAAGCGCCAGTGGTCACACCTGTCATCCAAGCTACTCAGGAGGCTGAACTCTGAGGATCGCGGTTCAATGCCAGCTTGGACAGGAAAGTTCATGACTCTCTTATCTCCAATGAACCACCCAAAAAGCCGGAAGTGGAGCTGTGGCTCAATGGTACAGCACTAGCCTTGAGCAAACGGAACTCAACGACCAGGCCCAGACTCTGAGTTCAAGCCCAGGACTGGCACCAGAGGGAAGAACGGGGTCTGGCTGTGAAGCTGTGGTGGAATTCAGGGAACCCAGAACAATCCATTAGCCACAAGCCCCGCCAGACCCAGCCACCAGCGCTGTTAGCATGCCAGTGTAAGGAAGGGTAGGTAGACAGGAGAAGCAGAAGGGACGAAAAGAGAACTCGTCTCTGGGGATAGAGAAGGTCCTGTCAGATCCAGGGGTGATCGAGACATGGGGTGAGGGACAAGTGACAGGTCCCCAAGAGAGGTGACACTTCCTGAAGGAGGGCCTCACCTGGAGCCACCACTAGGCTGATGTTTCTGAACGCCGTGACCTCATCGGAGAAAGAGTTGTAGCTTCCACACGAGTAAACTCCAGAATCCTCTTCTCGCAGTTGAGCCATGGTGACGATGAAGAAGCCGGCCCCCGGGTCGTCCCAGATGGTAAATCGGGACACCTCGGCTGCCGTCCGGGGCCGGGAGGTGGTGACCATTCTGTTACACCCGTGTTCTATAGCTGTCCGCCGACACCAGGTTTTCGCTGCGTAGGGCCCACTCATGGCTGGGTACCGACACTGCACGGACAGGGTCTGCCCCACCGCCTCATGAACCTCCTCTACAGCATCCCGGGAACCTGAGCCACAAAACCTGCAGGTCAGAGCCCTGGCTGGACCGCCGCACCCAGGGCTGGGGAAAGGGAGACAGCTTCTACCCCCACACTGGAAACAGAGGTCAGCCTGCTCCCTGCCCCCCTCCATCCTGCCCGCCAGCCCCTTCTCCCCACCCTTCCTCTCACCTGAGGCCAGGAGTACCATGAGCACAGGGTACAGCAGCTGGAGTGGGCACCCCCAGGCCATGCTACCCCTCTGCTGTTTCAGGCACTGGGAGACAGAAGAAGGGAGGCAGGGCAGGGGAGGGGGGGGTGGGACGGACCCTCTGGGCAGAGGAAAACAGAAATGGGACCTGACTCTCTTCCCCAGCTTCTCAGAATTTCTGGGCTGGGAGAGACTCCAGTTCATGAAGTGTGAGACCATCTGTGGGTTCAGAGGAGGAGCAGCAGTCAAGCATAGATGGGGAGCCCCCCCCCCACAGCCGGCAGACTCTGTCTCAGGCCTGCTCCCCTCCATCCAACCTCCCACTCACCCCTGCCATTCTCTACCTTGCACCCCCATTATGCCCCTTCACTGGTGCTGGAGGAAACTCCAAGAATGTTCCAGAAGAAACAGCAATGACGTGTGAGACTATTCCTCTGGTTTTCTCCCTTCGCTCTGTGGGAGATCGTTGAGGTAGATGCTGTGGCGTGGGCATACATCCCTACCTCTTTCCCACAAAGCTTTCCAAACTGGTGGGTTTGATTTGGATCTTTTTTCCCCCAGTTCTGGGGCTTGAACTCAGGGCCTGGGCATGGTCCCTGAGCTGCTTTTTGCTCAAGGCTAGCACTCTACCACTTGAGCCACAGCACCACTTCCGGCTCTTTCTGTTTATATGGTACTGAGGAATTGAAGCCAGGGCTTCATGCATGCTAGGCAAGCACTCTACCACTAAGCCACATTCTCAGCCCTAGATTGGGATATTTTAGGCTTTTGACAAACACGCAAGATTTATGTTTGGAACAGAACAGTCGGTGAGAAAGGCATCTATCATAATTATACCATCAGTGTGCAACCAAGGCCACAGCTACACTGGTAGCTTGATTTGGGAAGTTTCTGGATTCTTCCAAGATCCTGACTCCAGAGAGAATCACAGAAGCTACATGGAATCTGATTCTATAACCATTTCTTTTTTTTTTTTTTTTCTTCTAGCCAGGTGCCAATGGCTTGCACCTGTAATCCTGGCTACTCAGGATGCTGAGATCTGAGAATCAAGGTTCAAAGCCAGCCTGGACAGGAAAATCTATAAGACTCCTATCTCCAATGAACCACAAAAAAAAAAAGTGGCACTGTGGCTCAAGTGGTAGAGTGTTAGCCTTGAACAAAAGAAGCTCAGGAACAGCACCTGGGCCGTGAGCTCGAGCCCCAGGATCATCACACACACACCAAAGACCTTCTACTTAAAATAGGTAGATTAGATTTTGTTGCCTGCAACTGGACCTTGGAAGTCGTAAGAGAACAGATGGCAGATCCCAGGATGCGATGGGGGACCGGTATGTAGTACGTGCCAAAAGCCGTCCAGGTGGCTTTGAACCCTCATCCACACCGAGGGCATGAAGACCAGAGGGTGCTAGGTGGATTTCCAGAGACCAGGAAGAAGAGGGGAGTGGATGTCTGTTCCTTGCCTCAAGGGCTGTAGCGTCAGGACTTGCTGAGCTTACCCAGCAACGCATCCTCCCCCCCCACCTCCCCCACCCCGCAAGTCTCAGAGATAAATAAAATTCTAAACCCTTAAGAGAAATCACCCAAAACAGAGATCACAACAAATGCAATCCAAAAACATTATCAGTGAATACTTTCCAAACCTTAACTCAAACTAAAGAAAACTCTGTGAGAAATAGAGGAATTCCTAGATAACCTCAACTTAACAAAACGGAGCTATTTAAGTGGATCTTTAACAAGTACTGAGATCAATGTAGCAGTAAGGGAGCCCCCACCCTCTTTCCTGACACCCCCTCCCACCTCCCTTCCTGAGACACACAGCAAGAGCAGCAAAGGCTTGATAGCCCTGGGCCACACGGTCTCCCTGAGAGCCCTGTACCTTCTCAGGCCGATGGTAGCCAGACCTCTTCCATCCACAAGTGTCTGTTGCCCCATGTGGCTATTTTCTGTCTTCTTCCCCCAGAGGCTCTGGAGGAAGAGATGAAGGAAGGACTCAGAAAAATACAGAAGGTGGAGAAAGGAGAAGCTGCTATTCTTATGGCAGCTTCCTTCCTGCCTCCCTTATGGTCACCTTCTGATTGAGAAATACTTAGTGCCACCCACCTGAGGCCTCCTCTCTACTCCACTCACTGCCTCTGGTCCCAAGACGCCACAGCCAATGGCCACTACATCCTGCAACCACGCCCACTCTACCCCCCTCCCCCATCTGAAGGGATGCAGCATCTGAATATTCCCACTCTCCAAGGCCTGACTGGAATCTGTCTAATGTTCACCTTCTTTCATCTCACTCTACCCCAGGGGCAAGTGATGGAGTTGCTCAGATAATGTGCCACATGAGTGCACACACCCTGGCTCCACCTCCCAGAGGCTCTGAGAGCTGGCAGCCTGCAGGGAGGCCCAGGAATCAGCATTTTTAACAAGTGGACCAGGTGATTCTGAAACACAGTCCAGGTAGACTGCCTGCAAATGCCATTGGCCTTAGTACTTTGCCTATATGTGAGGCAGGGAGTGAGCCAATGTCCCTAGAGGCAGGGACCACAATTAGGATCGTGACCTGAGAAGCTGCTCTGTGAAGTGCTACTTCCTACTTTACTAAAGGTCCATCATTCAGTGCTCTCAGCACCCCAAGACTGTGCAACAGACCATCATCTTTTGGCTCTCTGGCACCAGACCCCTTATCAGTATGGGGGACCGTCCCCAGTGTGTGAGACTCGCTGTGACACAACTCTACTTCCCCCTCTGTTAAGTATGAAGGCAGATTCCCCCCTGCTTCTCTCCCCACCTGCTATGGGCCAGTGTGTACCTTGACCTGAATGTGGGCAAAGGCCTAATTCTGTCCAGGATTCAGGAGAATGAGGAGATAATTGATACAAGATAGGCGTGGCTTACCCCAAGGCCGTTAAGTATTCCAACTGAATCGTGGTAGAAAGAGCAACATCACCTGATCCTCTCCTGCCGCCATCTCCGCTGTGGCCTCTGCCCTCCACTCTGCCTTGGTTTCTATTTTCTTTTTTCTTTTTATGTTGTTGTGAGGCCTGAACTCTGGGCCTGGGCACTGTCCCTCACTTCTTCAGCTCAAGGCTGGCGCTGTACCACTTGAGCCACAGTGCCACTTCCGGCCTTTTCTTTATGTGGTGCTGAGGAATCGAACCCAGGGCCTCATGCATGCAAGGCAAGCGCTCTACCACTGAGCCACCTTCCCAGCCCCATCTTGGTACTTCTTACTGAGGCACTTGTTATTGAGGCAATGGAGAACATGGAGGCCCAGAAGAGTCAGAGTCACTGAAGATACACTGCCAGGATGCAGAGCTGAGATCCCAAGTCACTGCTTGACTCCAAGGCCTATGTAACCCACACCACACTATTAAAGTCAGCCAAAGTCCCAGTAAGAAGCGACGCTGGAACTGAGTTATCAAGGAGTGTTTAATGTTGATGATGGTCCAACTTGGGGGAAATCTTGGCAGGATGTTGCAGCACCCAGGGACGAGACTTCAGGACAAGAAGATGGAGTGGGTGGGGTGAGGGGGAGGCTGGGAAGGGATGTGAAGGGTAAACAAAGGAGGAGGCTGCAATGCTTGATAAGAAATGTACGCATTATCCTGCCCATGTAATTGTAACCCCTCTGCACAGTATGTTCACAAAAAAAAAATAAAAAAGAAAGATGGAGTGGGTACCTGAGCCTGGAGGTGATCACTGATTGGTTAGAGGCTTGAGGGAGAGGGATAGAGCCATCTCTGAACTTGATCTTTTCCCACCCTCTCACATCCTCTCCTGATGACCATTGGCTAATCCCAACCAATGAGCAGAGTTAATGAGATTGTACCTCAAAACCAAAATACAAACAAAATGGCAAGGGTCATGGCTTAAATGGTAAAATGCTTGTCTAACATTTGAGAGGCCCTGGGTTCAATTCCTACTACTAAAAGATAGATAGATAGATAGATAGATAGATAGATAGATAGATAGATAGATAGATAGATAGATAGATAGATAGATAGATAGATAGATAGATAGGAGGGGCCTCATAACACCCTCTATCTTTGCTAAGAGAGAGCTGTGGGTCTCATTCCACCAGTAAATGGTGACTCACATGGCCTTGCTCTCGTCCTACTCACCTCTACCTTCATGGACATTTTCAGGATGGAGAGATAGAATACACACAGTAACACTGAACACTGTTGGCCAGTCCTCTCCTCTGGGTCCCGCCTCACCTCCTCCATCTCGGATTTCCCAGGTGGTGATGCTTGAAATGTTACCTAGGTGACTGAGGTACTGGGCAGAGGCTTCACCAAGAGGAGGGAGGGGTCTGCTCCGCCTTCCCAGGGTGGGCCTTACGTGGCTCACTTTAACCTGGCTTCCCTCTCTCCTACCCATGTCTTGTCTCCTCCGCCTTCCGGGGTGGGGAGGGCTGGTAGGGCCACAGCAGAAGGAAGAAGCCCAGGTGTTGGGTGCACCTGGGATCTGGGATGTTTTATAAGTGGGAACACAATCCAGGTGACCAAAACTACATGGTCCAAAGGAAGGAGGAGAGCAGAGATGTCAGCAGTGTGCACTGGGCCTCGGGACCCACTCCCCACAAGACAGTGAGGGCAGAGACCACGGCATTCCGTCTTTATTTCATTGAACCCACTGGTGGAATGAAGGGCCAGGCAGGCTGGGGGGGCTGTATCTTCTCTGCCCAGGGCACAAAGCACACACCCAAGATGACCCAAAGGCAGAAGACGGGGCCAGGAAGGAGGAAATCCTGAACATGCGACGTTACATTTGATCACAGATACTCATGCCAGGGACCCTTCCCCTTTCCCTCCCTCCTAACTTCTCTTCACACATCTGGCAGGCAGACTGGAGGTCAGAGGTCACTGTGTGGCTTCACGAGTCTAAGATCCGAAGGACCTCTGTGTGACCACACACAGGACAATGGAGACCAGGCTCTTAGTGACGAGGCCACAGGCCACGAGAATGATAAAGGTGAACGTGGGGACCCTGGAGGAGAGAGGAGAGTGATTGTTTTGGTTTGATTTTTTGCCAGTCCTGGGGCTTGAACTCAGGGCCTGGGCACTGTCCCTGAGCCTCTCTGTGCTCAAGGCTAGCCCTCTACCACTTGAGCTACAGTGCCACTTCTGGCTTTTTCTATGTATGTGGTACTGAGGAAGAGAACCCAGGGCTTCATGCATGCTGGGCAAGCATTCTTCCACTGAGCCACATTCCCAGCTCTGAGAGAAGAGATTGAATGGCCATTTCTGGCAATAATCCCCATGCTGCAATGTTTATAAAATTCCTCCAAGCCGGGAACTTGGGGGGCTCAGGCCTATAATCCTAGCTAGTCAAGAGGCTGAGATCTGAGGATACAGTTCAAAGCCAGCCCTGTCCAGACACACGCAAGGTAGAGAGCAGAAGGCTCCCATTGGGAGCAGCGTTGGAGTAAGGGATGAGTTATACAGCTTCATCTCCATTGTAGCGGAGTAGCAAGAGCAGAGTCAGGACCCGGGAAACCAGGCTCCGTTCTCAGTACCAAGACAGTCACTCCAGCCTTAATCTCCATTCCCTCATCTATAAATCCAGAAGGTTCCAACCCCAGCGCAAGGGACCTCGAGTACTTATTCTCAGCCCTGATCACTGCAGGGTCTATGAATTCTCAGGCACCTTGAACCCAAGAGGAACAACTTGCCACGGGACCCAATCTCCTTTGCAGGACTAAACCAACCTTACCCCTGTGAGACTGGCCTGGCTCACAATACTCCTCCTCTCCCTACTTCCCACGAAGGTTTACTGAGCAAATACTATATATACCAGGCACTTGGGCTGGTACCAGTCAAACAAAAAGGATGACCTTGTCCCTCACAGAGTCAAAGTCCATATAAACACAGACACAACACCATTTTTTCCTCCATATTTCTTTGATGTTCCAGGAAACAGGGAGAATGGCAGCCTTGCTGGGAGCCTCCTCCTTACTGTCAGCCTCTGCCTCCCTCCTGTGGAAATTTCCATTCCAAACTGAGGCGCCTCAAGTCTGCTCCTACCCCACCCACTACGCCCACCCTCATTTCCTACTGCTTCTGAGCACATGGGCTGGGAAACATGGACTGAGCACAGCGGCCTGGACCATACCTGATCCCAGCTGTCACATCCGTGAGGTTGACTCCAGGGCCAGGAGAGGTGATGACAGCAGGTGGCCTGGGTATGGGCTGGGTTACAGCTCTGTGCCTGGTACTTGGGTCCCTTGTGGTCCTAAGGGCGGGACTCAGGGCTGGAGGATTCTGGCCAGAGGCAGGAGTAACAGAAGGACCTGCAAGAAGGCATAGTTGATCAGTCCATGGAAGGGAGGAAGGAAGGAGAGGTGGGTGGATGGATGAGTGGATGGATGCATAGATGATGGATGGTTGGGTGGATGGGTGGATGGATGATAGACTGGTAGATGACTAGATAGTAAATAAAGCTGAGAAGGTAAAATGAATGTGGCCAAGAAGCAAAATTTAGCTGGGGGTTAGTGGCTCATACCTGTAATCCTAGCTACTCAAAAGGCTAAGATCTGAGGATTATGGTTCAAAGCCAGCCCGGGCAGAAAAGTTCCCATGAAACTCTTATCTCCAAGTAACCACTCAAAAGCACAGAAGAGGAGCTGTGGCTCAAGTGGTAGAGTGCTAGTCTTGAGTCCAAAGATGCTCAGGGACAGCACCCAAGCCCTGAGTTCAAGCCCCACCACAGAAGAGGAAGGAAGGAAGGAAGGAAGGAAGGAGAGAGAAACAAAATTTTCTTCTGATAAAAATCAAAAAAGTAGTGTGAGGTGACCCTATGTCAGAGACAAAACAGGAATGGAGAATAAAGGGATGAGGAAAGGAATTCTCCGGCCATTTCTGTTATTGGAGCTGCACCTGCTTGCTCTTCCTCACCGCTCCATGTACCCCCACCTTCTCTGAGACCCCCTTACACACTCTCTTACCACGTGCACTCTGCCTATGCAGACACACATGGCTTCGACACGCCTCTCCCATTAATATACTCCATCTGAGCCTCACGTTGGGCTTAGAATGCTCCACGTGCTCAGAACTGAAGTCGGGCCCCTTCCCAATGCCTTCCTTAACCCACCCCACAGCAGTTGCCGTGGCTAGGCAGAAGCCCTTCTTCAAGGGATCCGAGAGGACTGAGCAGACAGAGAAGTCAATCTCGGCTTGACTATGGAGTCAGACCCTGGCATCTAGGCAAGGGGTGCAGTCTGAGCCCAGCGAGTTGCTCCCTATGAACACAGGCCGCCTGAGGCCAGCTCCTGCCCGCCCTCCTCTGCCCACCCCCTTGGTGATCACTCACCCTTGCTCACCAGCAGGCGGAAGGGATCAGAGAGGAGGATTGGTTGGGCGGGCGGATGGTAGATGACACAGCGGTACAGTCCAGAGTCCTCCACTCGCAGGTCGGTCATCTGGACGGTGAGCTTGCCCTCCAGAGGGTCATCTCTCAGGATGTTCCTCCCCACCCGGACCACCGTGGGCCTTCCCATTGGCCTCTCGGTGACAGCCAGTGTCTGGACCTCCCCTCCGTCCAGCAGCCTCTGCCAGGCCTTCTGGCTGTCAGCATAGATCCTGACGTTGGCGGCACAGGGCACCTGCAGGTCCTGCCCCTCTGTGCGGAAGACCTTTTCCTCGGCCAATTCCTCAGCAGCTCCGAGTCCTGGAAGACAACGGGGCTCATGACCAGAGACAGACCTGGGGCACTGGGGACCAGGACTGGCTGGGTCATCGAGGGAAGGTGGGGGGGGGGGTGCAAAGTCTTCTACCAGCAGAGAGATCTAAGTCAGGGTAAAGAGATCGGCCTTGAGTGAAAATGCCAAGGGAGAGCACAAGGCCCTGAGTTCGAGCCCCAGTACTGGCGCCCAACCAACAAAAGGTACCAGTGACTCACGCCTGGAATCCCAGCTACTCTGAGGATTGCAGTTCAAAGCCAGCCAAGGCAGGAAAAGTCCATGAAACTTTCATCTGTGATTAACCACCAAAAAGCCAGTAATGGAGCTCTGGCTCAAGGAGCAGAGCACTAACCTTGAGTCCCTGAGTTAAAGCCCCAAGAGTGGCATAAAAATAAAGAGGGAGTGGGGAGCTCCCGAAGCTCCAAACCAGAGATCTCACCCACTGACACCTCCGGTGGCTTACCTGAGGCTAACAGCATCCACAGTAACCCCCAGGGCTGGGCCATCCACATCGTGTCCCTTCACCAGCCCCAAGTGCCACTGCTAGCTCCCAGGCGTTTCCAGGCCCCCCACACCCCCACGCACCACGCCCCTGCCCGGAGGCTCCGGGAAGTTGCGTAACAGGGTGAGAAGCAGCTCCTGGGAGGCAGCACCGTGGCCATCACTGTTCACTGTCCCCAACATGAACGCAGGAATCCGGAGAGCAGGGGTCTGGCCTCATCTAAGCGGGGCTGGACCTCCATTTCCTCTTCCCTGGGGCTGCTGAGGCCTCCCTTTACAAAAGGCCACACGATGTTAGTGAGAGTCACTGCCGTGGGAAGTGGCGCTGTGGCTCAGCGTGGTAGAGAGCTAGCCTTGAGCACAAAAGAGCTCAGAGGCAGCGCCCAGGCCCCGAGTTCAAGCTCTACCACCACCACCAACAACAACAACGCATATTATCATTTGAGAATAACTCCTGTGAACTCTGGCCGATGCGTTCATTCACACCGTGAGCGTGACTCCTTCCCAGAGCAGAGCTTACTCACGGCCGACCACAGACCCCCTTCCCAGCGCCGCGGTCATACCAGTTCCTCAATGCGGCCACTGTACTTCCCCCTCAGGTCACCTTCCTGTGGACAACAAAGCACGGCCAGCCCCCACGGGGCCCCACGCCCCACATGGACCAGGCCAACACGTCACCGTCCTAGCACGGCCTCCTGGGACTCGTGTCTGCCTGCTTTGAATCCACCAATTAAAATTCCCTGTAGGGAGCCGGGTGCCATGGCTCACACCTGTAATCCTAGCTTCTCAGGAGGCGGGGAGCGGAGGAGCAGGGTTCAAAACCAGCCCATGGGACTCTTATAGAAAACCAAAAGTGTTGCTGTGGCTCAGAGTGGCAGAGCACTAGCCTTGAGCAACAGAGCTCTGAGTTCAATCCCCAGAAGAAGCACCACACACACACACACACACACACACACACACACACACACAGCCTGGGAACTATTGGCTGAGCACACTGTATTCCAGGATAGAGTCAACAGTTTGCCACAATTAAATCACAAATCAGGAGTGTGTGTGTGTGTGTGTGTGTGTGTGTGTGTGTGTGTGTGTGTGTGTGTGTGTGTGTGTGTGTGTTCGAAAATTCAAAACACTCAATCATGAAGTTCTTTCTTCTTGCCCGGGAGCCCTGTCTATGGTTGACAATAAAACCTTCGACTCCTGAAATGGAAAGTTTGCTCCTAAAATTCCAGAGTGAGACAGACATCCATCCTATCATCCTCTCACACAGGTCTTACTGAACAGAAAACCCACACAGCGGCTTTAAAACCAGAAAGGAAGGCCAGAGGACCCAATAGGCCATCTGTGTAGAAATTCCCAAACTGTTTATGTCATTGGGAAATAAGGTCAAGTACACACCTATGTTACATTTCTTTGCCCTCATCACAGACAATTACACACTTACTTTGTTTGTATAGAATTAGCCTTGTGTGTGTGTGTGTGTGTGTGTGTGCCAGTCCTAGGGCTTGAACTCAGGGGCTGGGCACTGTCCCTGAGCTTCTTTTGCTCAAGGCTAGCACTTCTACCACTTGAGCCACAGCGCCACTTCTAGCTTTTTTGGTGTTGAATTGGTACCGAGGAATCAAACCCAGGGCTTCAGGCATGCTAGGCAAGCGCTCTACCACTCAGCCACATTCCCAGCCCAGAATTACAGCCATTTTCACAGCTAATCTTTAGTCTAGTCTAAATTTTTTCAACCAGTTTCTTCATTTGACAATTTCTTTTCTTACTTTTTACTTCTGTGACCTGAAGTGAATGTTCAGTTTCGCTCTCGTTTTAAAAAAGAGTTCTCAGGTTCTTTCAAATGAAAACTCTTTGGATTACCTTTATAAATTAGGACAATTTAATGATGCATAAGATGATTGGATCATAATATTTTCTCTGTTCTCAGGAGACGATAATTTGTTGTCTGCTAGCATTCCGTGAAATGGCAGAAAATTTGAGTCAACAAGATTTTTTTAAGCCCTGTGGAAAATCCTTCTGTTTATCTGTAAGGAGGCCACCAGACAGATGGAAGCATCTGGAATGTGCAGCCACAGCCAGCCTCACATGACAACCCCGATGGCTTGCCTGGAGTTGGCACAATACAGAAAGGAACTTCTGGTGGTGATGGTGCTCAGGTTTGAACTCAGGGACTCACTCTTGCGCAGCAGACGCGCTGCCACTGAGCCACATCTCCAGCCCCTTCTTCTGCACTGGTTTTCTTTGACATAGGGTCTCACATCCTGTCCAGGTGCTCCGCCTGCACCTTGGTCCTTCTAATTGTCACTTTCCATGCGAGCCCGGATACCAGGCACATGCCGCCGCCACATCACGGATTGTTCTGCCTCCGCTGACCCAGAACCACAATCCTTGCCATCAGGATGACAGGTGTGCACCAGCATACCCAGCTACGCATCAAGAAGTGAGTCTTGGGCTGGGAAGGTGGCTCAGTGGTGGAGCGCTTGCCTTGCATGCATGAGGCCCTGGGTTCGATTCCTCAGCACCACATAAGCAAAAAGAAAAAAGCCGGAAGTGGCTCAGAACCCAGGCCCAGAGTTCAGGCCCCATGACCGGACCCCCCCCCAAAAAAAAAAAAGAAGTGAGTCTTTTCTCCCTTAAACTGTAGCATTCAGCCTTCAACTTTACACCTTAAATGATAATCCTCTGACCTCAGCCTCCCAAGTAGCTAGAATTAGAGGTGAGCCACTGGTGTCCAGGGTAAGGCTGTTGATGACATCATCATAAACTACGATGGCATCATCGCTGGAGTTTATGACCTCATTATAAATGACGATGTCATGAATGTTTAAAGCTGTTTATGACTGCAGCATACACTAGCCTACCTTGTTTGATAAACCCCAGATCTCTCATTTCATTGATTAGCTGTTGTTGTTGTTGGAGATAGTGTAAGTCAACATTCATTTCTCTTTTTTTCCTTTTCTTTTGGCCAGTCCTGAGGTTTGAACTCTGGGCCTGGACACTGTTTCTGAGCTTCTTTTCCTCCAGGCTAGCACTCTACCACTTGAGCCACAGCACCACTCCCAACTTTTTCTGTGCAGTTTATTGGAGATAAGAGTCTCACAGACTTTTCTACCTGGACTGGCTTCAAACCGCTGTCCTCAGATCTCAGCCTTCTGAGTGGCTAGGACTACAGGCGTGAGCCACCAGCATCAGCCTTCTGAGTGGCTAGGACTACAGGCGTGAGCCACCAGCATCAGCCTTCTGAGTGGCTAGGACTACAGGCGTGAGCCACCAGCATCAGCCTTCTGAGTGGCTAGGACTACAGGCGTGAGCCACCAGCATCAGCCTTCTGAGTGGCTAGGACTACAGGCGTGAGCCACCAGCATCAGGCTCAACATTTATCTTTTTCACTTCCAACAAATATTTTCTTCTGTTATGTCTTAAATCTTTATTTTTTTTCCTTGTTTTTCTGGCCTGCCTTTCAAGAATACCTCTTAACTGTTTGCTATCTGATTCCCATTATTTTGTGGATTATTTCTCCTTGGAAGGAATAAAGGGGAACCTAGCTGGCCACAGCGGCTCCTGGTACCCAAGCAACTGTCTGTCCTGTGGCTGGCAGAGAAACCAGACGCCGGGGCAGGAAGAGAGCAGTTTGTGGGGAAGGTTCTGGTGAGCTGGGTGTCATCTCACTGCATTTTAACAGAGAACAAATTTCAGAACAACCTCTCCAATGATTAAGGATTACTGCAGTCTTTTTACAGATACAACAGTAAGTCCACCACCTCTTTTGTTGCCATTAAATTAAGAACATGTCACAATCATTCAGTAAAACTGTTCTAAGCTTTTGCTTTTATACTAAGATTTTGTTTACTACTGAAAGGCATATTGCCTTACTGTCTGACACAGAAATATTAACATCCAAGTTACAACATACACAAGAGTGGTTGTTCAATTCTCATATTTAAAACCATTCATACAAAACACATTCCTTAGGCCAGGCACTGGCAGCTCATGCCTGTAATCCTAACTTCTCAGGAGGCTGAGACTTGAGAATCAAGGTTCAAACCCACCCAGGGCAGGAAAATCTATGAGATTCTTATCTCCAATTAACCACCAAAAAGCTGATAGAGGAGGGTGGGAAGGTGGCTCAGTGGTAGAGTGCTTGCCTTGCATGCATGAGGCCCTGGGTTCAATTCCTCAGTACCACATAAGCAGAAAAAGCCAGAAGTGGAGTTGTGGCTCAAGTTGAGCTGAGGGACAGTGCCAGGCCCAGAGTTTAGGCCCCACGATCAACGAAAGCAAGCAAGCAAGCAAGCAAGGAAAGAAAGAGAAAACAGGGAAGGGTGTCAGTGGCTACTCCTAGCTACTCAAGAATATAAGATCTGAGGATCGCGGTTCAAACCGGGCAGGAAAGTCCATGAAACTCACCTCCAATTAACCACCAGAACCTGAACCGGGAGAAAGGAGCCGCGCAGGGATGGGTAACTTTATGGGAAGCCACAGTCGAGGGTAGCCAGGTCCCCCGAGCCCCACAGAGGGGCCGCACAGTCCCAGGATAGAGCAGAAGCCCCAACCTCCCTCCACTCACTCCGTTCTCCAGACATCCAGGTATCTGGGTGTCCAGAGCAGTGTGGGTTTCCAGGGCCCAGGGTCTTCCCCTCAGCAGCCCTGGCTCCCCACTTCCTCCTTCCTGTTCTCACTTCCTTCCTGGTCTGTCTGGGAACCAGGCTCCACACAGGACCCAGGAGGGGAATATGGAGGTGGCCTGGGTCTCACACACCACAGCTCAGTTCCTGGCCCGTGGCCGGAGCTCCATGTCTTTGGGAAATGTGACCATGAACAGAGTCATCCTTTTTTCATTTGTGCCAGTACTGGGCTTGAACTAAGGGCCTGGAGCTCTGCCCTTTAGTTTTTCTACTCAAGTCTGGCGCTCTACCACTTGAGCCACAGCTCTGGTTTTCTGGTGGTTATAAGAGTTCTCACCAACCTTCCTGCCCAGACTGGCTTCAAACTGCGATCCTTAGATCTCAGCCTCCTGAGTGAATAGGATTACAGGTGTGAGCCACAG